GTGTCCTTCTCTTCCTTTATTTTTGTCTTTACCCCCTTTAGGGAGCTAGACATTAAAAACTAGGATTTTTTTTTTTAAACTACATACATGTGGAAAATTGGAAGTGAATATGCCACACCTAGGAAAAGGCACAGGCTCAAAAAGACTGAGAAGACCTTAAGTTGACACCTTAGACTGATCCTTGGAACAGAGACAGACAGACAGACACAGACACACACACACACACACACACACACACACACACACACACACAGCCAAAAAATAGCAAACCCTGGAGAAGGGAGATAATCTAATTTCCAGTTACCTCATGACTAGGTCCAAATATCTAATTTATAACAAAGAAAATCACAAGGGAGACAAAAAAAGAGGCAAATGTAGCCCCTTCATAGAGAAAAAAAATCAATACAAACTGTTCCCAAAAAAGACCTGATGACAGATCTATTAGATACTTTTAAACAACTGAAGATGTTCAAAGAACTAAAAAAAGATGTGAAGAGACTCAAGAAAAAGATACATGAACAAAATGGGAATATCCATGAAGATAAATTCTGAAAAGAAATCAAATGAAATTCTAGAACTTAAAAATAGAATAAATGAAATGAAGACTTTACACTAGGATTCAAGGACACATTTGAACAAACAGAGGAAAGACTGAGCAAACTGAAAGGACAATAAAAATTATTGAGTCTGAGGAACAGAAAGAGAGAAATTAAAGAAAGGTGAACAGAGCCTTAGGGACCTGTGGGACACCATCAAACTGACAAACAAATGTATTGTGGAAATACCAGAAGGAGCAGAGAGAGAAAAGGGCAAGAGAGAAATAATGGCTGAAAACTTGCCAGATTTAACAAGACATGACTATAAACATTTAAGAACCATACAAAAATTAAAAGTAAGACAGACTCAAAAAGACCAACATTGAGACAAATATTATAATCTAACTTTCAAAAGATAAAGACAAAAAAAAAATCATAAGAGTAGCAAGAAAAAAATGACTTGTCACAAACAAGGAATGTTCAATAAGATCATCAGCAGACTTCTTGTCAGAAACCTTGGAGGACAAAACACAGTGGGCCAATATATTCAAACTACTAAAAGAAAAACCTGTCAACCAAAAATCCCATACACAGAACAACTGTCCTCCTAAAGTAAGGGAGGAGATGGGCACAGCGGTGTGTGCCTCTAGTCTCAGCTACTCAGGAGGCTGAGGTAGGAGGACTGCTTGAGCCCAGGAGCTTGAGTTCAGCCTGGGCAGCGTAATAAGATCCTGTCTCTTAAAAAAAAAAGGTGAGGAAGAAATTAAGACATTTCCAGATAAAGAAAAACTGAAAAAGTTCATTATCATGAGGCCTGCCCTGCAAGAAATACTCAAGAGAGTACTATAAGGTGAAGTGAGAAGATACTAGACAGAAACTTGAAACTGTATGAAGAAATAAAAATCACTATAAAGGTAAATGAATGGACAATTATAAAAACTAGTACTATTGCAATAATGGTTTGTAACTCCACTTTTTTATTTTCTACATGATTTAAGAGAAGACTAACACATTTTACAAAAACAATTATTAGTCTAAAAACTAGCATTATAGCTTTGGCTTATAACTTCACATTTTGTTTTATACACAATTTAAGAGACCAAATATAGTCTCTTAAATTGTATTAGTTTATTATACAAAGCATGAGTTAAGGATCCCTTATCTGAAATGCTTGGGACCAGAGTGTTGCAGATTTTTTTTTTTTAATATCTTGGAATATTTGCATTATACTTCCTGGTTGAACATCTCTAATCCAAAAATCAATGGCATGTCATGTCAGTGCTCAAGGAGTTGTAGATTTTGGAGCATTTTAGATTTCAGATTTTCAGATTAGGAACACTCAACCTGTATAAAGATGTAATTTTGTGACATCGACAACCAAAAGGGGTGGAAAAGAAGTTGCTGAGGCAGGAATTTTTGTATGTTACTGAAAATAAGCTAGTATAAATTCAAATTAGAATGTGATAATATTTAGGAGGTTAAATGTAGTCTCTGTATAGCCATTAAGAAAGTAGTTATAGAATACATAAAAAAGGAAATGAGGAAAGAATCAACTAAAAATGCCTCAAAAATCAACTGAAAACAAAAGAAGACTGTTGTATTAGCCCATTTTCATGCTACTGATAAAGATATACCCAAGACTGGGCAATTTACAAAAGAAAGAGGTTTATTGCACTTACGGTTCCATGTGGCTTGGAAAGCCTCACAATCATGGTGGAAGGTGAAAGGCACATCTCACATGGCAGCAGACAAGAGAACAGAGAGATTGTGCAGGGAACTTCTCTTTTTAAACTCATCAGATCTCATGAGACTTACTCACTATCACAAGAATAGTACAGGAAAGACTTGCCCCCATGATTTGGGTACTTCCCTCCGGATCCCTCCCAAAATGCATGGGAATTCAAGATAAGATTTGGATGGTAACACAGCCAAACCATATCATTTTGCCCTTGGCCCCTCCCATATCTCAAGTCCTCACATTTCAAAACCAGTAATGCCTTCTCAACAGTCCCCCAAGTCTTAACTCATTTCAGCATTAACCCAAAAGACCACAGTCCAAAGTCTCATCCAAGACAAAGGAAGTCCCTTCTGCCTATGAGCCTGTGAATCAAAACCAAGTTACTTACTTTTAGATACAATGACGGTGCAGGAATTGAATAAATACAGCCATTCCAAATAGGAGAAGCTGGCCAAACAAAGGGGCCACAGGCTGAAGTTTGCTGCAGGGTGGGGCCTTCACAGAGAACTCTTCCAGGGCATTGTGAAAGGGAAAAGGGGGTCAGAGCCCCTACACAGAGTCCCTACTGGGGCACCACCTAGTGGAGCTGTGAGAAGAGGGTCGGCCACCATTCAATACATCTTCTGAAATCTAGGCCGAGGTTCCCAAACCTCAATTCTTGACTTCTGTGCACCTGCAGGCTTAACACCACATGGAAGCTGCCAAGGCTTTGGGCTTCCACCCTCTGAAGCAACAGTCAAGCTGTAACTTGACCCCTTTTAGTCATGGCTGGAGTGACTGTGACACAGGGCACCAAGTCCCTAGATTGCACACAGCAGAGGGACCCTGGGCCTGGCCCACAAAACCATTTTTTTCCCCTAAATTTCTGGGGCTATGATGGGATGTGCTGTCACAAAGTTCTCTGACATGCTCTGGAGACATTTTCCCCATTGTGTTGGGGATTAACACTCAGGTCCTCATTACTTTTGCAAATTTCTGCAGCTGTCTTGAATTTCTCCCCAGAAAATGGGATTTTATTTTCTACTGCATTGTCAGGCTGCAAATTTTCCAAAGTTTTATGCTCACTTTCCCTTTTAAAACTGAAAGCCATTAACAGCACCCAAGTCACATCTTGAATGCTTTCCTGCTTAGAAATTTCTTCTGAAGTTCAAAGTAACACAGATCTCTAGAGCAGGGGGCAAAATGCCACCAATCTCTGCTAAAACAAAACAAGAGGCACCTTTGCTCCAGTTCCCAACAAGTTCCTCATCTCTATCTGAGACCACTTCAGCCTGGATTTCATTGCTGATATCATGCTCAGCATTTTGGTCAAAGCTACTCAACAAGTCTCTATGAAGTTCCAAACTTTCCCATATTTTCCTGTCTTTTTCTGAGCCCTCCAAACTGTCCCAACCTCTGCCCTGTTATCTCATTCTAAAGTCACTTCCACATTTTCAGGTATTTTTTCAGCAGTACTCCACTCTACTGGTACCAATTTACTATATTAGTCTGTTTTTACACTGCTGATAAATACATACTCAAGACTGGGAAATTTACAAAAGAAAAGGTTTATTGGACTTACAGTTCCACATGGCTGGGAAGGCCTCACAATCGAGGTAGAAGTTGAAAGGCGCGTCTCACATGGCAGCAGACAAGAGAACAGAGAGCTCATGCAGGTGAGCTCCTCTTTTTAAAACTGTCAGATTTCATGAGACTTACTGTCACGAGAATAGCACAGGAAAGACTTGCACCCATAGTTCAATTACCTCCTACCAGGTTCCTCCCACAACACATGGAAATACAAGATGAGATTTGGGTGAGGACACAGCCAAACCATATAGACAGTAATGCAGGAAATGAGGAACAAAAAAGCTATACACCAGAAAACATATACCAGAATGACAAATGTCTCTCCTTACCAGTAATTACTTGCAATGTAAATCCATTAAACTGTCCAATCAATAGACAGAGACTGGCAGAATAAATAAAACTACATGCTGTCTATAAGATATTAATTTTAGATCCAAAGACACAAATACATTGAAATTGAGAGGATGGAAAAAGATATACATGCAAATAATAACCAGAGAGAGCAGAGGCCACTAATATTAGTGGCCACACTAATTAGAAAATCTTTAAATCAAAAAAGATTACAAGAGACCAAGAGGAACCTACTGACAGACCATCAAAATATATGAAGCAAATTCAACATAAGAAAGAAATAGTACTACAATAATAGTTGGAGACTTCAGTACCCCACTCTCAATACCAACCAGATAAAGATAAGTAAGGAAATAGAGGGCTTAACACAACAAACCAACTACATCTAACAGACATGTATAAAACGCTTTATTCAAAAACAGCATATATATGTTTCTCAAGAGCACATGCAACATTTTTCAGAATGAACCACATTAGGTCACAAATTAAGTCTCAGTAAATTTAAAAAGTTACATATCATATGACTTGTCTTCTTCAGCCACAGTGAGATAAAGCAAAAATAAAACTATAAAATTCATAAATTTGTGGAAATTAAACAACACATTCTTAAGCAACCAAGGTATCAAATAAGAAACCACAAGAGAAATTAGAAAATATTTGGAGATGAATGAAGCTCAAGAAACAACATACCAAAATTTATGGGACTCAGAAACATCAGTGCTAAGGGGGAATTTATACCTATAAATGTTTACATTAAAAAAACGGCCCTTTCCAGTGGTGATGACCACCCTTTCTGGCAGTGACAACCTACCCACGAGAACATGCCTCTCACAAAGGATCTCCTTCATCCCTCTCCAGAAAAGGAGAAGAGAAAACACAAGAAGACACGTCTGGTGCAGAGCCCCAATTCCTACTTCATGGATATGAAATGCCCAGTATGCTATAAAACCACCGTGGTCTTTAGCCATGCACAAACTGCAGTTTTGTGTGTTGGCTGCTCCACTGTCCTCTGCCAGCCTACAGGAGGAAAATCAAGGCTTACAGAAAGATGTTCTTTCAGGAGGAAGCAGCACCAAAAGCACTCTGAATCAAGATGAGTAGGAAACCATCTCAATAAACACATTTTGGATAAAAAAAAGAAAAAGATCTCAAATCAACAATCTAACTTTGCAAATTAAGGAATGAGAAATAAGAACAAATGAAATCAAAAGCTAGTGGAATCAAGTAAATAAAGGTTAGACAGAGAGAAAAGAAATCAAGAAGATAAAAATAAGAGAGAAAAATCAATAAAACCAGAAGTTGGTTCTTTGAAAAGAATCCATACATTGAAAAACCATGGGAGAAGGGGTCAAGATGACCGATTGGAAGCAGCTGTGGTCCTCAGCACTCACAGAGAGGAACAAAACAGGCAAGTGAATACAGCACCTTTAACTGAAATATCCAGGTTCTTGCATTCGGACTGATTAGGGAAACAACTCAACACACCAAGAATGAAGAAAAGTAGGGTGGGGTGATGGCCCATCCAAGAGTGACACAGAGCCAAGGGAACCCCCACCCCCAGCCAAGGGAAGCAGTGAGTGGCTATGTGACCCAGGAAACCATGCTCTGCCATGAATCTTTGCAACCTATGGATCAGGAGATCCCCTTGTGAGCCCATGCCACCAGAGCTTTGGGTCTGTTACATAGAGCTGGGTGGAGTCTTGGCAGAGCAACTGCTCAGGTACACACAGAAACCCAGGAGCTTTAAATATTCCAGTTTTTCTGCAATGCAGGCAAGGTGCACGTACCCCTAGGAAGGGGGCAGAATCCAGGGAGCCAAGCAGCATCATTCTGTAGACTCCACTTCCAATGTACCTCACAAGATAAGACCCACTGTCTTGGAATTCCAGCAAGCCATCAGCAACAGAGTAGAGCCTGCCTGACACAGGATGGAGCCTTCAGGAAAGAGAGGTGGGCAACACCTCTGCTATTTTGTCGACTTAGCCATTCCAGCCTCTGGGTTTTGGAGAGTCTAAATAGTTCAGATGAGGAAGGGTTCCCCTAGCAGCACAACACAGCAGCTTTGCCAGATCATGGCAAAACTGCTTCTTCCTCACTGGGTAGAAACTTCCAGCTGGACCCTCCAGCCTTGCCTGCCTGCATGTATTACAGACAGAGCTCTGATCTCTCCTGGGATGAAGTGCCCAGAGGAGTGGAGGGCTGCCACTTAGGTTGGTTGGATGACTCAGCCATTCTGCCCTGTGGGCTTTGGAGAGTCCTAGCTGACAGGGGCAGAGGCAATTCGTTACCACAGCACAGCAGTTTTGTTGAGGTATGGTCAGACTGCTTCTTTAAGCAAGGCCCCGATCCACTTCCCCTAGTGGGGCAGGTACTTCCAGTCAGGTCCCACCCACAGGGGCCTCTGGCCACCCTGGCCTGTGTTCTCCCCAGGATAAAGTGCCTGAGGGGTGGGGCAGGCTGCCAACTTGGTCATTTGGCTTCTCAGCTTGTATAGCCTGTGGGCCCTGGAGAGGCCAAACCAATCAGGGGCTGAAGGAACCTCAACTACAGTACAGCTTCTCTATCAAAAAGCATCCAGACTGCTTCTTTAAGCAGGTTCCTGATCCTGTCTGGGTAAGACCTCCCAACAGGAGTCTTCAGCTACCTCCTACAGGTACATTTGGGACAGCAAAGGGTCAGTACCCCTGGGACAGAGCTTCCAGAGGAAAAGATTGGCTGCCATCTTTGCTATTTCACAACCTTCACAGGTGATACCTCAAGGTACGAAAAAAACAAAACACACACACAAAAAAAACAAGGAAACTAAGGTTTGGAGTGGACCTCCAGCAAACTGTAGCAGCCCTATGAAAGAGTAGCCAGACCATTAAAAGAAAAACAGACAAACAGAAAACAAGAAAACCCCATCCAAAGATCAACAACGTCAAAAATCAAAGGTAGATAAACCCACTAAGATAAGAAAGCATCAGTGCAAAAGCATTGAAAACTCAAAAAGCCAGAGTGCTCTTTTTCCTTAAAATGACTGCAACACCTCTTCAGCAAGGGCTCAGAACTAGGCTGAGGCTGGGATGGCTGAAATGACAGAAGTAGGTTTCAGAAGGTAGGTAACAAACTTTGCTGAGATAAAGTAGCATGTTGTAAACCAATCTAAAGAAGCTAAGACTCACAATAAAACAATACAGGAGCTGAGAGCCAAAACAGCCATTTAAAGAGGCACATAACCAATCTGCTAGAGCTGAAAAGCACACTACAGGACTTCACATGCAATCACAAGTATTAATAACAGAATAGACTAAGTGGAAGAAAGAATCTCAGAGCTTGAAGACTAGCTTTCTGAAATAAGACAGGCTGACAAGAATAGAGAAAGAAAAATGAAAAAAATGAGCAAAACCTCTGAGAAATATGGGATTATGTAAAGAGACCAAATCTACAACTGATTGGGGTATCTGAAAGAGACAGAGAGAATGGAACCAAGTGGGAAAATACACTTCAGGATATCATCCAGAACTTCCCCAACCTAGCAAGACAGGCCAATATTCAAATTCAGGAAATGCAGAGTACTCCAGTAAAATATTCCATGAGAAGATCATCCCCAAGGCACATAATAATCAGATTCTCCAAGTTTGAAATGAAAGAAAAAATGTTAGTTAAGGGCAGCCAGAGAGAAAAGCCAGGTCACCTACAAAGGGAAGCCATCAGACTAACAGCAGATCTCTCAGCCAAAACCTTAGAAGCTAGAAGAGACTGGGGGCCAAAAGTCAACATTCTTAAAGAAAAGAATTTCTAACCCAGAATTTTATATCCAGCCAAACTAAGCTTCATAAGCAAAGGAGAAACAAGATCCTTTTCAGACAAGCAAATGATGAGGGAATTTCTTACCACCAAATGTGCCTTGCAAGAGCTCCTGAAGGAAGCACTAAATATGGAAAGGAAAAACCATTACAAGCCACTACAAAAACATACTGAAATACACAGACCGGTGATACTATGAAGCAAACACAGAACCAAGTCTGCAAAATAATCAGCTAGCATCATGATGACAGGATCTAATTCACACATAACAATACTAACCTTAAATGTAAATGGGCTAAATTCCCCAATTAAAAGACACAAAGCAGCAGTCTGGATAAAGACCTAGGACCCACGAGTATGTTGTGTTCAAGAGACCCATCTCACATGCAAAGACACACACAAGCTCAAAATAAAGGAACGGAGGAAAATTTACTGAGCACATGGAAGACTGAAAAAAAGCAGGGGTTGCAATCCCAGTTTCTGACAAAAACAGGCTTTAAATCAACAAAGGGTGGGTGCAGTGACTCACACCTGTAATCCCAGCACTTTGGGAGGCTGAGGCAGGTGGATAACCTGAGATCAGGAGTTCAGACCACCCTGGCCAACATGGTTAAATCCCATCTGCGCGCGCGCGCGCGCACACACACACACACACACACACACACACACACTCACACACACACACAAATTAACGGGGCATGGTGGTGGGTGCCTGTAATCCCAGCTACTCAGCAGGCTGAGGCAGGAGAATCACTTAAACAAGGAAGTGAAGTTTGCAGTAAGCCAAGACTGTACCACTGCACTCCAGCCTGGGAGACAGAGTGAGACTCTAACTCAAAAACAAACAAACAAACAAACAAACGGTCTAACTAACTAACTAACAAAGTTCAAAAAAGACAAAAGAAAGGCATTACATAATGGTAAAGGGTTCTATTCAACAAGAAGAGCTTACCTTCCTAAATATATACGCACCCAATACAGGAACACATAGATTCATAAAGCAGGTTCTTAGAGGCCTTCAAAGAGACTGAGACTCGCAAATAATAATCATGGGAGACTTTGACACCCCACTGACACTATTAGACAGATCATCAAGACAGAAAGTTAACAAAGATATTTAGGACTTGAATTCAGCTCTGGATAAAGTGGACCTGATAGATATCTACAGAACTCTCCAGCCGCAAACAACAGAATATACATTTTTCTCATTGCCACATGGCACTTGCTCTAAAATCGATCATATAATCAGAAATAAAACACTCCTCAGCAAAAGCAAAAGAGCTGAAATAATAGCAAACAGTCTGTCAGACTATAGTACAATTGAATCAGAATTCAAGATTAAGAAATTAATTCAAAACCACATCACTACATAGAAACTGGACAATCTAATCCCGAATGACTCATGGGTAAATAATGAAATTAAGGCAGAAATCAAGTTCTTTGAAACTAAGGAGAACAAAGATACAATGTACCAGAATTTCTGGGATGCAGCTAAAGCAGTGTTAAGAGGGAAATTTATAACATTAAATGCCCACATCAAAAAGCTAGAAAGATCTCAAATTGACAGCTTACTTACTAAAAGAACTAGAAAACCAAGAGCAAACAAACCCAAAGCTAGAAGACAAGAAATAATCAAGATCAGAGCTGAACTGCAGAATGTAAAAAACAGAAAACCTTTCAAAAAATCAATGAATCCAAGAACTGATTTTTTAAATTAATAAGATATACTGCTAACTAGACTAATAAAGAATAAAATGAAAAGATTTAAATAAACACAATTGGAAGTGATAAGGAGAATATCACCACTGACCCCACAGAGATACAAACAACCATCAGAGAATACTATAAACATCCCTGTGCACACAAACTAGAAATTCTAGAAGAAATGGATAAATTTCTGGACACATACATCCTCCCAAGACTGAACCAGGAAGAAACTGAATGCCTGAATAGGTAAGTAAAAAGTTCTGAAATTTAGGCAGTAATAAACAGCCTACCAGCCAAAACCAAACAAACAAAAAATGCCCAGGACCAGATAGATTCACAGACAAATTCTACTGGAGGAAAAAAGAAGAGCTGATACTATTTCTACTGAAACTATTTCAAAAAATTGAAAAGGAGGGGATCTTGCCTAACTATTTTTTTTTTTTTAGATGAAGTCTTGCTCTGTCACCCAGGCTGGAAGGCAGTGGCTCAATCTCAGCTCATTGCAACCTCTGTCTCCCAGTGACTGAGGTGGCAGATTTGTGATTCTCATGAGTCAGCCTCCTGAGTTGCTGGAATTACAGGCACCTGCCACAATACCCAGCTAATTTGTATTTTTAGTAGA